GGAGCCAGCAAGGGATGGGGCCAGGTGGGGCAGCAATCTGAGGGGCTGGGGGAGCAAGCGGGGGTGGGGCATGTGGGCCCTGCAAGGGGGGTGGTAGCCCCTGTGGGAGCCATTTGGCCCCTGTTGGGGGGGGCAGCAAAACATATACGTATTTAGAATTCACTTTATTATGATGATAGAGAGACTGGTAAGCTTTCAAATTGCTTTAACACTGTAGATATATCAATAAAACATTGCCCAACTGATCTCTCTCTCTGTCTCCCTCCTTCTCTCTCCTGGTCTTTTTTTTTTAATTGTGGAGGAACATGAATTTCAGGGTATTTTACAAAATGACTTTGGGATTTTTTTTTATCAGGGATTTTTCAGTTTTCCAATAGGGAACACCAGAATTCCTGCTAGGAAGGCCAGTGGCAGGACCCTGCCTGCTCAGACCTGGCACCTTGGACCCAGCTGGAGGTGGCTGACCTCCTGGCTAATTGGGGCCAGGAGGACATGCTTTCACAGTTCAAAGCAGGCCACTACACTGAGAACATCTTCTAGGCAATAGCTTCCCAGATGGCTGGGCAGGAGGCACACATGGCAGTAGTGCTGCACAAAGGCCAACTCTGTAGCCACAGCCCACTGGGAGCTGGCCCAGAGGGGCAGATGCCTCTACTGGCTGGGCGGGCCCCCTCCCGGTCTCCTCTCCTGGCTGTGCGGTCCCCATCCGGGTCTGGCAGGTGCAGAGCAGGTCACAGCCAGGCAGCACCTCCCACTGCCACACTGCTGTAGTGGGTAAAGGGTGCAGGGAACTCTCAGAGCTGCTTCAGCAATCCATCTGGCACAAGGAGTAGTGTCCCCAGGTACCAATTGCCTGGGCCCAAGAAACTGCAGATTTTAATACTGCTGGGGACAGCACAGGTTACTTTGCCCCACACCAAAGTGCATGTCTGGGCACATGCACTGAAGCAAAAAGCCCTGGCTGAAATTTGCACCACTTCTATTTGAGCTGCTGCAAGTGCACGTGCTTGCATGTGTGTTTTCGCCCATGGTCGCCCTACCCTTTTTTCACCATGTTTATTTGGGAGAGACTCTTTTCAACTGGCTAGCTTCTAAAAAAATCTCTTTGGGCACTTATAAAAGTTATGTTTTTTCATGTGATGAGGCCCCTGAGAGTGCTCTACAGCTGTAACATAACAAACATTCATGACTGCAAAGCGCTTTTTAAAAAGGTCAGTCACATGAAAAATTACCTCTTGTTAATCAGCTATTAGATGAAGGTGCTCTAGGGCAGAGTACCTGAGGTTAATTTTGAGTGATTCCACCCTCATCCCTTGCACCTTTGCAGGGCTGGGCTGGTGCTCATAAGCCTCCTCCCTCCACAGTGGGGGAGAAAGGGGAAGGAGGAGGTGGGGGGAGGTACCCCTGCTGGGGTTGTGGAGGGAAGCTGACTTAGGTCCATGAGGTGAGGGGGGGCTCAATTTCCCCCCTAGCCCCAGCTCCCAGCATGGCAACTAGGGCTGCTGGAAAGATGCTTATGTTTGGGAGTTGGGGCATGGGGAGGGGGTAATCTAAGCCCCTCCACCACATGGGCTCAGCCCAGCTACCCATGCTGGGATCTTAGGGAGACCTGGCCCATGTGGCAGGGGGGCTCAATTTCTCTCCCTCCCACACCCTAGCTCTCAGTGCAGGGAGTGGGGATGGCCTGGCCAGCTTCCCCAGGCAAGGCATGGCGAAGGCTGGGGCTTGCCCATCACTACTGGCTGGGAAGCTGGGTAGGCCACCTCTACCCCCTGCAGGATGATTTTGCTGGTTGCCTGGTTGCTCTGCCTGGTGGGTCCCCCTCCCCACACCTCCTCCAAGAGTCCCCCCACACACTTTCTTTGGGGAGGAACTGCCAGGTATAGCCAGTAGGCAGCCAGCAAAAATCACACTACAGAGGTTGGGGGTGCCCTGGCCAGCTTCCCTGTGTAGGGCATGGGGAACACTGAGGCTTCCTCATTGCTATCAGCCCAGGGCCAGGGCTATGGCTAGCCCCTCCTTGGCACTCTGTTCCAGGGAGCCTGTGGAGCACGTGAGGAATGTGACAGCACCCCCTGCCTCCTCACTTTTGCCAGTCCATGGAGGCCCTGAGCCCCCACCATCAAATATCAAACATCTGTTATGTTCAATTGTGCTGTAACTATAACTGCTTTGTGTAAAGCGCAAAAGTTACAAAATGATCAGGAGTGCCTTCTGATTACATGTGTAAGCACACTTCCTCTGGATGCCTGACATTCCCTATGCATTGTATGAGGAGCCTGGGTGCCTAGCTCAGAGCTGTAACTTCCTCTTGCAGAAGACCACCTAGACTGAAGTTGGGTGTTCCACAGTGAGTGGAGCCAAAGTGAATCCAGAGGTCATGTGGTGGTGCAGTCACATTCTTCCACTCACACACCAGCACCTCCAGTTCCTTTAGATGGGACCCCTAAGTGAGCTCAGACCATGGAGGGGATGGGGATGAGATGTGGCTGGAGACCCAGGCTGGTGGGGGACACCTGATGAGGCAGGCAGAGTAGATTCAGAAGGGGGAACTCACTCACTGCTGTTACTGTCTGGGACTGAACCAAGTACAGTGGGACCCTCAGAGCTGCTCCAGCCAGGAGGCGTCAGCTGTGTGGGGTACCAGGAAATGGCTGTGCAAGGTGCTAGACTCAGATAAGGACAGCAGGTAGTGGTGGGTGGATTCTTCCTTCCTGTGCCTTGTCCCAGACCAGCTCCCCCAGGGATCCCCCCCAGCCTGACAGGTGCAGAAATAGATAACTTGCCCGCTGCTGCTGTTCCTAACTGATCCTAGTTCCCACACAATCACTTCCTGGGCAAATCCCCCCCTTACTTTACCAAGAGGTGTAATTAGGAGGGTTTGTGCTATGAACAAGGTTAGCCTTACCTCTATCTGGTTAGCCTTACCTCTATCCGATTAGCCTTACCTCTTTCCTTGGCAAGACCTCTGAGAAAATTGTTAAGGATCACATTTGCAGGGGACCAGCAGGTAAAATAATGCTAAGGGGCAACCAGCATCGGTTCATAGCAGGCAGATCCTGCCTGACTAACCTGGTTTCTTTTTTGACTGGGTCACAAAATGCTTGGATGAAGGAACAGAAGTTGATGGTATTTACTTAGATTTTAAAAAGGCCTTTGACACAGTTTATTTATAAGAATCCGGTGCGACACTAAGTGGTTGCAGTGTAGATTATTACACAGTCCTGTGGGTGGAAAATTGACTCATGGGTCGCACCCAGAGAGTGGTAGTGAATGGGTCAGTTTCTTCCTAGAGAAATGTGAACAGTAGAGTCCCCCAAGGCTCTGTCCTGGGACTGGGACTGTTCAATATCTTCATTAGTGACTTGGATGAGGGAGTGGAAAGCACTCTGTCCAAGTTTTCAGACAACACCAAACTATGGGATGAAGTAAACAAACTAGAGGGCAGG